CAGTATTTTCACGCGTAATAATATTGGTAATAAAACTCTATATTTATAATATGCCATTGAGTAAAAATTAAATTTTTGGCATTTTGAAGCTTAATTTACTCAGATAATCAATAAATAACCGAATTAAATCCATAAGAGTTTATATCGTACTGCAAGTCGAAAAGCTACATGAAGAAGAGCCACATTAATACGTCAAAATGTCTCATATTTTAGCAAAATGAAAATTCATTTTGGAAAATGTTTCGAAAGAAAAATTGATGGTTTTACTTTCTTTACAAAACGATAATAATAATAGCTTGTGATAAAGCTGACTAAAGTAATACCACAGTTACATAAACCAAAGGGAATATAAAGGCGAAACTTCACAATATCTTGTCGATTCCGTCGATTTTATTTAAACAAAAGAATCATTTTTCCAATAACATCTGTTTCAAAATATATTATCAGTAAAACAAGTGACATTTATTTAGTGTGTTATATGATTTGGTATTTACTTCAAGTGACTTCATCAATACGATACTACTTGTAGTTGTGTATAAATATTTGTAAATTGCGACTGTTATGTTGAATCGTAGATTCTTATGTTTGTAACCAATAAATGATAAAATTTAATTTTAAATGTAGATTTTATGTTATTTCTCAAAATAGAACAGATCACTTTTATATGATAAATAAATAAATCTTAGGGAAAAACAAACGTCAGTCAAGATTCGAGCAGATAGTTATACAAATATTTGATCATTTTCTGTAACTAGATGATAATTCATACCCACCTTCTTACACACAAATTAATCCAATGATATGTCATACAGAATCATCTTGACCAAAATAACATCACATTGACATGTTCAGCCGCATTATGATCTTGATTTTACTAGATATGGTTTGTCCTAATGATTCACACATTTTTGACGAAGTTTCTTGCAAATCTGAGGAAAATATGTTGAATGAATCAAATAGTAATAAAAGCCTGATGCAGTTTTGATAGATGCTGATTTTTCCAATGATCCATTACTCTCCAAAGACATTCACAATTAATTTGAGGAAAATACTTAAGAAGAATCAAATCCTAATGTCATATCAAATATTATTTGTCCCCATAATGGATTTGTTTCTTGTGAGAAACTTGTTCAATGCGAAGCACGAGTAATAAATGAGCTCAATTTTGATTACAGTTCGGATGATTTCATATCAACTGTCGTTTATCTTTATCGTGAAGTCACTTCTATGAAATATTGTAGTCAATATGAGAAGTATGTTTTAAATGAATTCACATCATTTATAACTTGGGGATATGAACATCCAACATTATTTCGTGGGGAAGGATTATGTTTGTAGGTCGTTGGTTCAAATTCTAGGTATCAGTGGTTTCAGTACACAACCGGTATGGTGATCGTATACAAATCCAGGACCCAAATAGTACAGAGTTTACATCCACCATACAATCGGACAGGCACATGATGAACCTAAGGAGAAGAGGTACGATTGATCATTATTAAAGCTGTGGTGGATGTAGTGTTTGTATGAACTAATGATTCCTTTTTAGATGATGATCGTTCAATTTCGAATTCCAAGTACAATACGTTCTTTCGTGTTCATATGGTTTTTCTTGGTTAAAATGCGTTATTTCTAAGAATTCTTAATTAGTACAGTAGTTCAAATACTCCTAATCATCACAGCTTGCTCTATAAGAGCAGCTGAAAGAAGTGGCTAATCTAGATAATTTATCTTTCAATCTCGGAATGATCATCGAATGTGTAGAAAACAGTAATTGTAGTTTACCTGCATTAAAAGTTCTTTAGATTGCTATGTACAACTTTAATAGTGGCATTTTGTTGAGTACATCGCCTCTAAATTGTAAACGCATATACAGAGGCTTTTTCCTCACAGTTAGGCATTTCTCATGTTCTCTTTTCTTGGATAGTTGTTTACCCATAAATTTCTTTGGATATACATTTTGTTTCAGGTTAGTACGCAATGCTTTTGTTTCCTCTTTAACTGTATCTAGAGAGTATATGGTCTTGATTCTATAATGAGGTGTGTTAATCAGGTTCCTTCTATAATGTAGAAAAACAAAACCAAGGAAAGTTTGTCCTTAAGTATTTATGTTTTTGATTTATTATTCATATTACAAATAATCCCTAATTTTAAATGATGTACTTTGCCTCAAACCTAGACATTTTTTGAAATATTAATTTGGATATATAATTGTAAAACTTGATGAGAAATTATAGAAAAGAATATTTTTCGTTCATATATCTTTATTGTTCTACTGTTTTTCCCACTTTTATTCTACTGTAGCAATCTTTCTATTGTAGAAATATGGAAAAATGGAATGATACTACATGCAGATGATGGTGTATGACACTTATAGACACATCATTGTTAAGTTCATTATATTAATACGTGAGATCGATTTTATGTGAGGATGTAAGCAAATAAGACGATTTTATCAGACAGAAAGCATGTAATTTAAATGATTTTAAAGCTTATAGAAGTTTGTGTTCATATAAAGTTAAATTAGCACCAATGTTCTTCGACAATATTTAAGTGCCAGATTTTGATTCACAGACATGATAAACACAGCAACAAGTATTTTGCAGAAGTTAGTTGTACGTTTCAGGAAAATATTGAATCAGCCAATTATTCTGCCTTATTATCTAAATAAATTACTAACCAGATGACTGTAAGCATCATTCGTAGCTGTGAAACTTTCTATCAATTTACTTGGCTCCTAAGCTAATAAAGAATATAATTACGCGGATTTCGCTGGACTGTAGCACACTGTTTCCAAAAAATGACTGAAAACAAAGTCTGTCCGTTACATCAAAATAATGAGTTAGATGAAATAATTTACCAGTAGCAAACTACTAAAGATTATTTCCTATATATTTTGCACTTTCCTCCTACCTAATCTTCCATATCTAGTAATTCTTAGTGTCATTCAATTTTCAGGATTTAATAGAATATCAAAAATATTTTGATCCATATGAGCAGTTTTTAGAAACCAACAGATAACGTGCGAGCTTTATTTATACAAATATGAAGGATGATTAGCGAATAATAAAACGTGGAATAAAACTTCATCCTGTATTTAAGGTCCCATAATTGAATAAAATAAACAAACGAAATGTAGCCTGATTTGTAGTAAAAAAGATGTTGTTAAGTCTGAGTTCATCTGTAATAATTAGTCTGCGTTTAAACATCTTTGATTTTAAAATGAATTGTAAGCTACGAATATACTGATCTCTGAATGTCATTCTGTCCAATCACGTTCTAAGAGTTTTTACAGTTGAAATATTTCTAATTTGTCGTATTAAATTCCTGTTTAAAATTCTGTCAGTGACTGAAGATGTTGTTTTTAGAAAGAAATTATTTAGTTATAAAATGTCTACTTTTCCACTAAAGAAATTTATTCTCTCTGTTTCTAATATAGATTTATGTTTCAAATAGTAAGGCATCATTATTGTCAATTCATGGGTTTTGCAAACAAACCCATAAGACTTCTAATAATGAATATCATTGGTTAAAAAAATAGCCCACAGGAAAAATACTTGATGTATAAATATAATTTACCACAAAATTATATCAGTTTGCATTTAAAAAAAACAAATGGCATTTTTAATTATAAACTCAAATAAACTTTTGTTTCAATAATTAAGATCTTGAGTCAGTTGAAGCTAGACCAACATAGAGAACCCGGAAGCACTGGATGGCTGTTTTGTCCTATTGTGGGACTTCTCAACAGTGCGCATCCACGACCCTACCTCGCGGGATTCGAGCCCGGGACCTATCAGTCTCTAGTGCGAGCGCCTAATCACTAGACAACTGAGCCGGTTTTAATGTCTAACTTCAAGTAATCCACGAAATTGAGCGACACATGTGGTCGAGCTTCAATCGACTCATGACCCTAACTATTAAAATTACTACAATCTCCACAAGACCCCTTTTGATACTAAATTTTTGTTTCGTGTTTAAGTGTAATAATTTAACAAAAGTTAGTCAATCCTTTAAAGTGAATTACTTCTAAAGTCCATGTTTATTCACTTAATATTTGACTGATTCGAATAATAAGAATCAAGCTAATACAACATTTTTGTTAATAACATCGAACTATGAAGACTAATTCCTGGTAATCAGACGGTTAATTTATATGTAACAACAAATGAATTTAAAGAGCCGGAATTCATTCCACGAATAACTACTTTTTAACAAAAAATCTTGATGATATATAACACCTTCAAAACTATCTAACCTACCTTTTCACTTTAGTCTTTTTGAAAGTAATTTTATTTTTGAAAATTACCTGAAATACAGATTACAGGTGAAATGGTTAATTAATTAATTTAAGCATATGTTTTATTTAATAGTTGAATTCATGAGTCAATTGAAGCTAGACCACTACGGAAACATGGAAGCAATAGAAGGTCGTTTCGTCCTATTATTAAGTTACTAAAAACTCCACAAAACCCAATTCTGATAATATTTTTTGTTCACACAGTGGAGCTCGCTTATAATTGAGTATAAAAGTAATGAGTAAAAATCACATGTATTTTTAATGGTTAACAAGTTTACTTGATATTTAATGTACTCAAAATCACATGATTGCCATGAAAGATATTTGTCTGTGTGTGTGTGCAGATCAGTGAGCATATATGAAATAAGTTATTTAGAAAATGCAATCGATTATAACCCCCCCCTGTTATTTTCATTTTTTCTTAATAATCCGAACTCTTTATTTAAGTGACTTTTATTGTATAAATCCTTTTATAATATACTTATTTGCCCATGTTGTCCAGAAGCAGACCATTGAAAAGAATTTTATAGTATAAAAATTCTTAATCTATTTTTGTTAACAAATTTTTTTGAAATTGCCCAATAAGTGGGAAAGAAATGAAAGGAAACTACCACTTATCTATATTTATTAGGCACGTACATAAATCTATGTGTGAATGTACGTGTGAAATGTGTGTATGTATGTGTGTGTGAAATGTGTACTTACTTAAGTATGAGTTTGTATGTGTGTTTACGTTTTTCCTTTAAGCTATTTTGAGTTATAACAATTCCATGCAAAGTATACTAGTTAGAGAATAAATGTTCATTACATAACCAAATCGTGCAACACTAAAGTTGTAAAATATACTTCAGACAATAGCGTTTCTGCAGTTACTACTTTGAAATTTCTTATTCCTAACCATACTATTATTATTGTGTTCAAACTTCAACACAATAATGGATGACTGCAATTCAGATATAATTGAACAAGCTCGTCAATTGTTTATGCATTGTGATACAGATGATTGTGGCTATTTAACACGTCAAGCATTAGATCGTCTTAGTGATCGTTTACCATTAACGATTTCACAATTGGATTTTGTATTCAATTTATTAGATAAAGATAAAAATGGGCAGTTGACTTTGGATGAATTCATTCAAGGTTTCGGTAAGTGATTATTTTGTAATATAGTAAATTCTTATCTTGTAATGATTCCAACAATTAATAATGATGATTAGCTAAACTTTGTTGTTAACTGTCTGATAGCCAAGCCAAGGGATTTAAGAATCCGTTGTACTATAACAGTTGTTGAATTGATAAAGGCACTTTTTTAGAATCTTTGATCGGTATAATGATTTTGCTTGTTGTAATCATGTGGTGAATTCGGCTTTCTCAATAGACCGCACAATTAAAAATACTGATATTTAATTATTCTGGTTCCAAATAATCACTTGTAAAATTAAATCACTTTAGCAGTGAATTGCTAGCTATTAGCACCATCTACTACTCGGTAATGATTATGCCAGACGTGTGATTACTACAGAAAGTGAAAAGATATTAGAAAAATCTTTAACCGATGTTCGTTTTAGTCACATTTCATCAACCATCATAAGTTAATTATAGGTAAACAAAGGTAAGACTTATATTTCCTTAAATAGAGAAAAAATACTCATAGTTGGGCCATCATAACGCAAATTAGGGATTGATTATATTTCATTCCTTGCGTATTTGATGAATTTTCAGTCGGAACGTCTTTGAAAATGAGTTATTCATTCTTGCAAAAAAAACCCGACCAAGAGTTCTCGACAGAAACATGAAACTAAAACCTTCAAGAGAACCTATCATCTATGTACCCGAAAAATACTTACATCAATGTTCACTTCAAAGCTGACACAAGTATGTTGTTTTGTGGATTAACGTTCACAACAAGGCCCAACGTTTGTTCACTAGAGGGGTTATAGATGTGGACTTTCAAATAGTCTGTTTAAAGGGAGAAATAGCTGTCAAGAGCTTTCTAGTTACCAAAAGCTCTCAAACTGAGATTATAGGGTGATAAGTACCATTGACAAACTAAACTGATCTACGTATAACATCCGTAACACAGAAGCTCACTTTCATTAATTGGGTTATCTCGTATTCACATTCAGATAAATATTTCTAGAAAATCTGATAGACATACGTGATTCTTCAGTCCAGTCTCGATTTTGGCAGTTTAGTCAACAAAACATGGGTCTTTTAGAAGTGCGATATGAATATTTTAGATGAGACTATGACTTATATTCGCATGACGTATATCTATGACATAAAAATAGGAATAATTAGATCGCCACCCTGTCCATCAACTTTCTTTTCACTATCTTGCCGATGATAATAATAACAGTATTCATAATAGATTATCTTTTTTATCCCTTTATTAAAAAAATAGGATTGCTTCTTTCTTTGAAATAGTTCTTTCTAGCTAAAATGACCTAGAGTCTATAACAAATAAGTAACTAATGTTAAACAAATAATAATAACCATGACCTCGAGTGTATTTTACTACTTGGCGTAAGATACAATCTACCGACATAATAAACAAAGTGTTGGACGAGCACTGAACTCAGAAAATTATTATTGAATCAATGTTACTTTATCACCAAGAACTATAAGATTGATCGGTATATATTGGAAGTAATATGAATTATCTGAAGAATAAAAGTGTATTGTTGATAGAGCTAGGGATACATAGAAAATAATCCGAAATATAATAATACTTAGTTATTCCGTCGAAAGTACTGAATATTATATTCTGTTCTTTAACTGTTATATTGTGTTTAACTTAGGTATGGCGAGTATGATTGGCAAAAGTATATTAGGCTGTAATATAATAAGGTCAACACTTATGGTCTTTTATAGAATGATTCGTTTCAGATATAACGAAATGAATAGTTTCAAATATCCATAATATTGTTAACATTAATTGTTATAAATAAACATTATCTCGTAGTGATATCAAATCAATAGTGTCATGTTTGGAGGGATTTTGTGATACTATGTACTGGATGTTACAAAGATTAACAACAATGTATTACTGAATAGTAGGGTTAAATGTGAAGATTTAGGTAACTTTTAAGAATTTGATAGAATCATACGTTATGATTCAAAAGATTCCCTACATAATGATGTCACAATAAATTCTTTTGGTGGATCCAAATAAAACTTGAATTCATATTCGAGCATTTTTCATAACAGACGTTAGAATTGATTAACCTACACTGAAATCTACAAAACCATTTGAAATATACGATTTTATCTAATCTCAATAAATTTAATCAAAGGAATTCATGAAATATATGATACATATATGAAAGAACTTTTAATTACAGAAGATTTATTGCAGGTTTTGAATTCATCCGCTGTAGAGTATATAAAACAAACAATCTCGAAATCAGATGTTTCACAGGATTGTAAATTATAATCTCAATATAGTCAATAAATGAATTGTAGTTTATTATTCGAATGCATAAAAGACATGTTTAAATTATTATCGTCTTATTTCACAAAATAATGTAGAACGTTCTAATAATAAATTCTATCAATAAAAAGACCATTAATGGTGTAAAACTTATTTAGTAACATTCAAATTCGAGTACAGTGAACAAAAATTTTCAATGTCTAATAACAAGAATAACACTAACAATGAATGGATGAAATCGATTAAAGTGACGGTCGTGCAATATTGTGAATTGGTTGAAGTTAGACTTTAATGCTTTTGGATGCCAGCTAACTGGTCTAGAGGTTAAGCGTTCACGTGTGAGATGGAAGGTCATGGATTGGAATTCTACGTGCTAGATCGTCGATACGCACCGCTGACAAGTTCCATACTGGGGCGGAACGGCCTTCTTGTGCTTTCAGGTTTTGAGTGGTAGTCTAACATTGATCCATTCATGATCTCAATCTAAACTCAACAATCTCCACAACTGTATACCGATAAAACAGTTTCAAGTGCTGATATTTTTTTGATTAGATAAAACAAATAACTTTTATCTAAACTAAATTGATAGTGTTACCCTGGTAACTAGTCATTTTCCGTTCTTTTGAAATCCTAGACTTGTACATACATGGCGCATATTTATTACCTCTTATTTCTTATTATCTTTATCATCGATTATTTTAGCTATTTACTGTATTTGTATAAATAACATTTCATAGGACAATAAAAATTCTTAACAAATATTAACGCTTCTTATCTAATACCAGAACAGTCATCTTTAGAGCATAAAGTTGTTCTACATGATCTATTTTCAATATCTGAATTATCTTTAGATACTTTTAACGTGTTGTTTCTATGGCAAGATATATTATTAATCAATAATTCTAAAAACAGTAAACAAAGTAATGATTTCCGAGGGATCAGTTTTCGAGCAGTTGAGTTGTTGTATAATCAAGTAACAATTCAATTCAGATCCATTCATTTTATATCTCATTCATTCGTAAGAATATTTCTGATAATTAAAATAACCCAAAGTGTCATTGAATAAGAAAAAAAAATTCAGCGAAGAAAATTTTCTTTTCGACAAAATCATTTACCTAAGCTGTACATTCGTATATATAGTTATATGGAAAATATATGTCTATAGAAGGATAGAAAGGAACGTATCGCAAGAAATGGATTCGACAATAAATAACAAATGAGGTTAACGTACTAATCAAAGGGTAAGGAAGAACAACATTTATGGGTCAGATAACAGTCCATTTGACAGATACGAAGGAAAACGACAAAACAACAAAGGTAATAATAATAAACTGAATGATAATCAAAACTTGTAAAAGGTAATAATAATAAATGATTAGAGTTTAAAGTGCAAAATAGTAATTTAAAATATGGATAATAATAAAAGTGCAGAAAAAAACAAAAAAACCTAGAAACATACCCGTTGAGCGAATAAGGGCCAGGGAAGGATGAGAGGTCGGACAAATCGTTTCTACACACAAAGTTCAGCCTTTAGTTTGTGGATTGCCAATACCTCTGCGGTGCATAAAATATTGATTCGAATCCCCTTCGATCCAGTTCCTTTGACTCTGTAAACTATCTTAAACGAAGAGTCTTTTGAATAGATTTTCATTCATTTTTATCTTTATTTATTCAATATGATATTAACAGATAATTCCCATTTAAATATTAAAATTAAAACACGAAGTTCAGCGAAGGGGTCTCTTTTCAACGAATTTATTATCAAGCTGTACAATCGTATATATATGAAAATTTATATTCTCATTGTTTTATTCGTACATACTCACCATATCACCTTATTTATTTTTTACACCTGTATGGTCATCTTATTATATTCATCAAATCCAATGTTACTGTTATTATCCGTATTACATAATCTAGTATTATAACCTTTTTATTAACTGTATTCACATTTCCTCACGGAATTAGTACTTTTACAAAAACAAAACATTTTCATATATATACGATTGTACAGCTTGATAATAAATTCGTTGAAAAGAGATCCCTTCGCTGAACTTCGTTTTATAATATGATATTAGTAAAAATAATTGAAATTTTTTTCTTGAAATGATTTCTGAACTACATTTTTATTTCAATGGTTGAGATCATGAATCAATTGAAGCTAGACTACAATGAAAACCTGAATGCACTGAACGGCCGTTCCGTTTTATTCTGCGACTCCTCACCAGTGCATATCCACGATCACACCTCGTGAGATTCACACCCACAACATATCGGTCTCGCCAGCGAACGCTCAAACTCCAGACCACTCAGTCGGCATCCAACACTGTTAATGTCTAATTTCAACTAATCCACGAAATTGAGAGACACATCCACCATTGTCATCGGTGAGTTACTATCTCACAACAGAACTAGTTGAACTCCACTGGTCATTGGTTCTCACCAGAACTCCAGGAAATACATTTTGAAGCCAGTCACTAATGAGCATACGTTGATTAATATCAGAAGTGGGTTTTGTGGATATTGTAATAATTTCACTGGTTGAGATCATGAGTCAATTGAAACTAGACCACCGTGGAAAACTCATGGTCTCAACTATTGAAATTTCTACAATATCCACAAAACTCGTTTTGATAAAATTTTATTATTAATGAAATAAATTTAATACAATTTCTTTTGGTATTATTTCATTCCAGTGAAATAATATTTATAAATACAAGAAATGTAACACAATTTTATTAGAATATTTATAAACATAAAAATTATTTAACCACCTAGTCACTGATAACCTAAATAGTTTAACTGTTAAATCTATTACTGATCAAGTAAACCAGTTTTGTACAGACGCATATGAACCATTAAGAGGTTTCTTTTATTGTAATATTGATAAAAATGTTGGCCTTTTGAACATTTTCGATGGTCTCTTTAATCTTTTAGTAAATTATTCTTCTTTGCGTCCTTTTTTTCACTAATTAATGTAATTATCATGATAACCTAGAATCGTAGGTATTCTTTTCTTTTCTTGGTTACGAATTAAAAAGTGCAGATATGCTTAACTTTCTTCTTATTTAGTTTACATAATTTTCGTATATGTTAAATTGAAGCACCATAAACATCTAGATTGTATATTTTGTATTTCAGTAGAAATTTTAGTATTTTCTGAAAGTATGTATAGTCTTTACCAGATAGATATTGTATATTTAATTGAAAAATCCTTAATATATTGTCTAAACTTTGATTAAAATGGAACTTTTGATGATTACACCTTGAATGATGTTAAATTAATAATAGTCTCAAAATGCTTCATACTTTATTTTATACTCTTATTTGTCTATCATAGTTTATTAAACCAGTTTTTTAAACAATAATAATTTCCATGTATCTAAATAAATGGTTGCTCTGGTTGTCAGAAAGAGCATCGGCCTCGTGACTTCCGAAGGAACTCGGCTTTCATCATGAGACGTAATAACTCTTCTAAATGAAGACCTTCTGACTACCAGGGCAGAGTTTAAAAGGTTTGAATATTTTTTCTGGTTAGCGTTTTTTTAGCGAGTTAGTTTTCTACGGGATGGGGTCGCTAACCCCATTCCCAACCCTCCTATTTTATCCGGACTTAGGACCGGCAGTGACCCCCGGAGGGACTCCATGCGGAGTTAAACAATATTAAACTTGAATAAAAATCAGAATTTTATTAAGTTTTAAATGAATTTCCTTTTTATTTCAATTAGAATGAATTATTTTATTAGTCTAATAGTATAACCCATGTAAGATTATATAAACTTTACAATTCTATCTCGTTAAATACCATGAGTGTTTAGTTATAAAAATCTGTTTAAAAACTTTTTAATGCTTTTAAGCTATCGATGATATTTTAGGCATTAGTAATTTGTCATAAAAATTTCGCTTAAAATTCTTTCGTACAAATTATATTGATCTTCACTGAATTCGTTGTGAATACATTACCCAAAGTAAGGAAACTTGTCATTTTGCGCTTACAATAGTAAATACGTGTCATTGATGCTCTGTGAGTTGAAGTGAGATTCACAGGGTTATTTCCTGTTAATATGAAATAAAACAGCTTTCTTAATAAGTTTATGAACTTAAATTTGTTCGTTACAGATTTTCTGTACTGAATGTTCAGATCTCAAGTTAAGGTAAAACAAATATGTTGAATCTCTTTGATTATCAAAGATTTATCAGCTTGTATAAATTGATACTCACTAAAATCTTCAAATATTCAGTGCTTATAGACTGATTTATACTGATATTATCGAAACAACTAGGTGATGTTCACAAATATTTATTCATATGCTAAGGATGAATGCTATAAAGGGTTTTTTGTTTACCTGAGTCAAATATAGATTCAAAACTTTGAAAGGTCATTCAATAGCCAATTATTTTAAGAGTGAACTTCTTGCCATCACATGGAATTTTTATAAAAAAGTATTTGTTATTGGTGTTAATTCTACTTAGTAAACTATATTATATTGAACTAGAAAATATGCATAACATTTAAAGTATAGAATTCTGAAAATGGACATTAACTGATCATTATTTTAACCCTTCTTCAATTAATAGGATTTTGAAATGAAATTTATTTACATATTATGCAAAGTTTTTACAGAATTAACGATTTTAATAAATTAAGAGGTTGTTTAATGAAAGAAATCCTAGTTCTAATTGAAGTAATTTTATGTATATACATCATTTATAAAATTTTTTTGGCTGATTAGGTGTTGCCAAATTCAAATTCATTAAGATGTTCAAGTACACATACCTTGAAATATATTTACCTTGATTTAAACAAACCGGTTTTTATACTATTCAACAGGATGACAGTAATTCAATTTCCCATTCAAATTTGACAATCCGGTATGAATTAAATGAAATTGAAGTTATTCGTTTCTTTTCATGCAAAAACATTTTGAATTTTCACTTTCTATTAGTCCTATCATCATTTGTTTATTATTACTTGATTATAGGTCATTTCCTAGTTGACAAAGCAGCAAACAATTTATTATTGGATGAAGAAATTGACGAACAATACAATCAAATTATATCATCATTAGATCCAGAAAATGTATTAAAAAGGTAAAAAAAAGAATTTGTTAAAGCTACTAGAATAAATACATTTTACTTTACATATCTATACATTTGCAAATATATACTTGTGTAATAGTTAACAATACAAATCAAAAAGTATGCTAGTATGCATCGAATGCAGATGTCATTTCGAAAGACATAACATATCATATAGTTGCTTTGCCCTAGTACTAAACTTTTCATCACTATGCATTCACAACTAAACACATACTATGTAACATGGACGATAGCCTCATATCACTGAATTGGAATTTAGTGGACTGTAGTTTGAAATTAAATTAATTTCTAATATGATATGATCTTTAGTCAACATCATCGAAGTATAACAGTTATGACACCTCGAAAATTTTTCACAATATATATTTTAAAACTTGTAACCAGTTGATTATTATCGAAGATATCATTTATGTTGAGAGTGATTTCCATCGTGAAGTGATATCAATCCAAGAACTATCGAAAAATTAAGTAGTAAATAAGAGTTTTGTCTAACGCTTTTTTATCTGAATACAAATCATGACGAACATCACCTGTGTCGATACGATTGTTGACAACATATCTGAATGTTTCTTCAAGCTACATTACAGCACACCGGGGCGAGACTATAATTTATTGATGAACCAATCAGATTTACGATAACAGATCTTCAGTTTTGACGCAAATTTAATTTATCTATTTGGTTAAATAAAGTTTTGGCATTAAAGATGATGTTAGTTCGTGGTGAGAACCCTAGATCTAACTCTTAACCCTAACTACCAACTGTAAATATTAATCCTAATTCCTCACATTAGTTTATAAGCCTGAATTGGCGGTAGTATGTACGGTGACATTCTCATGATCTTTTTAACGTTGCTCAGAGGTCATCCATAAATTATAGTCGCACCGGATACAAAAATATCATTCATATACCTTTTAGTATCTTATCGATACAAATATTCGGTTTAGAATTACATAATGATAAAACTATATGAATAAAAACTATCTATTTGAGAAATGAAGAATCATGGATTTCTCATGCAAAATATACTGATTATTTTTAAACAACGATGATCATAATCAACAAACATTTACTAATGACTAGTAAAACTAATTCTAGATAGGGATGTCATTCGAACTAAATCGATTTTATTACTTTATATCATATATGAAATAAATACACAGTGAAATACAAAACTATCAAGTGTAATTATTCATTTAATTAAAATGTAAACTGTTACCCACATACTTTTTGTTCCAATTAAACTAAAGGAATTATTATCAAGTTGACTTTTTATAATAAAATTTAATTGAACAGATTGTTTTACTCACCTTTATCTACTTTTTCTTATTTTATTTTCAATTTCATTGTGTTTTTTTTTTCGGAACTAGCTATGAACAAGTAAAACATATATGGAAATACATGAAATTGGCTAATTCACATTTATTACCAGAATTTGAAGATATGTTAAGAGCTATAATGAAAGAGGTTAATGGTGCTAGAGTAGAATATGAAAATATGGAACGTATGATACAAAAGTAAGTTCTATTTCTAATCATTTGTTCATCATTTAGTAAATGGAATCTACCCCTTCCATTAAGACAATAAATAAGATAGATTTATTCAACCGAAAAGAGAACACTTCACTCAATTGATTTATTTTGTCTGAAAGGCTAATTCCTTTTTAGTGTGTAAGAAATTTAAAGTAGAACGTTTTTTTATTTAGACAGAATCGTCCTAACTGCAAAATTCAATCTGATTGATTTATAGTTGAAAACATCGGTTTAAAATCATATCATTACCCAAACCTTGATCATCAAAATGATAAAGTACCTGATAAAAAATTATTAAATGCATTAATATGTTGACAGTCGTTTAATGAGATGAATAAAGCCCCGGGTTACGGGTAAAGTATTTGAATGTCGATAGCAACTAATAAAGAGGTATATAGGTTCTGAGAAAAAACAAATAATAAATGTATCTAATTTATTGCAGATTGCTTATAATCATGTTAGTTAAAATCTACAATCGCTGATTCTTAATTACTTTGAGAAAAATTTAATTATGAAGTAAACAATAAAAAAATCCAATAAATTCTTTATATAATCACACAGCTCTATACACTGAATACAACAAAAAATATTTATCACTTTTGCTCTCTAGTTTATTGAGATTAATCGTCTACTAATAGTATCCATGAGGTATGTCAAGAAATTCCCTTTTTAGTCAATGAGTTTTATTCTGTACAACTGTATAATCAAATGTATCTGCTTTAATCGTTTAAAGATCCCCGTCATATTAAAAGACTAGTATTTGAACGAAGAATACTCTTTTCGATAGATTCTCTTCAGGTTCTACAATTATATATCCAAATTAATAATCCGAAAAATGGCCAGGTTAAGGGCAAAGTACATTGTTTAAAGCATGTGAATTTAGGATTGTGATAAACAAAATACAATAAAATGTTAATATGACTCATAGAATTTTAACTTGAATCTGCGTATACGTTAAGTGAAATTTTAAGATCCATGATCAGAATAAATATGGGTCAAATAGGGTGAGAGAGAAATAATAGTGCAGTTACTATTCGATCAAATAAGTAAGACGTAATACAGAGGGATGAATGAGAAGTGAATGAATCATGTATAGGGGAGATTAATGATGTTTAACTAATAATACGAATAATAATAATAACAATACGAAGATTTAAGATAACAGGGACAATTACAATTGACTACGAAAGGTCGTAGTCAAATTAGGTTATTCAGTAGTTAAGATTACAATTGATTGATTGCCCTTGATGTTGGCTGGAGGAGGAGGAGGAGGAGGAGTGGTTGAATATATTTCTTCTGTACGCATAGCTCCGGTTTCTTCATCCGGATGGCTACTGCTTCAGCCGTTTGAAGGACTATAACTCTGACCAGTTTGGACAAAAAATTACTGACCTTATAAATAATTGAAAAAGATTGGTTTATACTGGCACTATGACGATGTGCTGAGAATTGTACCAAAATATAATATTGAATAAAGCCATTAATAATAATAATAATAATAATGACCGGTTTGTACTAAATGGGCCAATATTGAGCTGTTCACTTTCTTCGTCAAACCTTTATTTAGCCACGCTGGAAGGTGTTCACGAGCACGAAAATGTAAATTCCTAGAACTTCGACCAATATAACTCGCTCCACAGGAGCAGTTAAACTGATAAATACAAAATGAGGTGGTCATTCTAGGTAACTCATCTTTTAGCTTCGGTGTAACCATTGGGCGCGTAGAAAATACTAATCACAGTTCTCCGGCGTTAAAAGACTTTTGTATTGTTCTACGTAATCTCTGAGTTAGTATTTCACTAGCCGCATTCCCTCTGAATTGTAGACGCATGAACAGGGATTTCTTCTTTACTGTTTGTATTTCACCTATTTTCACCTTCGTGACCATATATTTAATTATAAAATTTCTAGAGTAGCAGTTCTCCCTGAGAGTACTATGCAAGGTGTTAAGCTCTTGTTCAACTATATCAGCAGAACATATAGTGCGTATACGGCAACTAAGGGTTTTGATCAAGTTTCGTTTGTACTGTATAGGTACAAAGCTCAGAAAATTCGTATACTGCCTAGTCCATGTACTTTTTCTGTTTAAGTTCCTTTTTAACGATCCATCCGCTCTTTTAGTCAAGAGAACGTCCAAAAATGCTATTCGGCCATCACTCTCCTCTTCAGATGTAAACTGAATGGCTGGATGCATTTCATTAAATCGCCTAAGAATTTGAATTGCGGCGACGTATTATCTTTACAGAGGATGAACGTTTCATCCATGTATCTACAGTAAAATGTGAAGTTTTGAATAATCTTTTTTAGTGGACCGTTTCCTCGTTTGGCTAGAAAAATACCAGCTAGTATAGAGCCTAGTGGTGAACCCATTGCAACACCATCTGCTTCTCTATATATTTCACCGTTGAACTTGAAATCCACATTCATGGTGCATTTGAGTGATAACTCTTTCACGATATTGGTAGGAACAGTAGTTTCAATTTCATTTTCAATCAGCTGTTCACCTATATATTCTACAGTCTTTATGAATGGGACGTTTGTGAATAACGATGTTACATCCAATGATATCATCTTTGATTTCAACGTATTTGCATTTTTGATTTTATCAACAAACTGGAACACATCCTTAACACTAAATTTTGCAAGCTTTTCATGTAGAGGTTTCAATACAGTTACCAACCATTTAGCTATAGTATAGTAAGGAGAGTTATACATATCTAGAATAGGTCTTACTGGGATCCCCGGTTTGTGTACCTTTGACACTCCATACAATCTCGGCAGATAGATTCCCAATGGTTTAATCATTTCATATAAACCCGATGAGATAGCCTGTTGGTCCCTGAGCTTCTTCAAAGATCTGGTAAGCTCATTCTCTATCTTATTATTCAAATCTCTCTGGTCAGTTATTTTTTGAAACTTTAATTTGTCACTTAAGATTGTACTCATTTCTTGAATATAATCACTTTTATTAGGAAGAACAACACCTGAACCTTTTTCAGGTTTTGTAATCAGTAAAGTATCATTCTTAAGAAGTAGGTTTATAGCTTCCTTGTGCTTCTTCGTAAGAATGATTTTGTAACTAAATTTATTGTTCTTATATTGGTAACAGAAGTCTACAAGAGTTGACTAAGAATGTTCTAATTGATTATCAGAATTCACAACTAGATCACGTGTCTGACTATAAAGATTCTCGAAGTGTATATCTGTATCGATGTGGTTACAGTTATTACGAGTATCACAAAATTTTAGACCTAGGGATAATACCTCTAGTTTAGTAAAAATGTTTGTAATTTTAATAGTACTACTGTTTTGTATAGTTTGCTTCTTGAATGTCTTCTAGCTTTTTTCACATAGTTCATACTTCTTCCTCTTCTTCTTCAGATAATTAAATAACAGTTCGTAGTGTGATCAATTTTAGACCAGTTTACCTCTATTTTCTCTAAATTATAAAACATTTTTTATGAAAATAAAGGTAAACAAGTAAAGACAAAGAACCTTTCATCCTCTTGTTGAAATTGTTAGAAATACTTCAACTAGACGATTAGTTCGACATTTATCTTATTTGTTAGAAAGTTGATGAAGTAATCAAAATGGATATTATAGATATTCATTGACCTATAAAATTATGTAAAGGAACAAACAATCATTCTCTATTAGGAATCCTTATGTATATCGTTTTATACGTGTTGAATAGTATTCATGATACCATTATTAATATTATGATTATTATTATAGAGATATTTAGCATTTAGAAAACATTCAGCTTATATTATCAATCTTTTACATATTATTAGTTACCAGTTGACAATTATACAGATTGGAATATTATTTACAGAAATCTTAATGCATTAAAAGATGATTGATATTGAACTAAAAATGAATTAGTTGTCAACGATCTTTGTGTATCACTTTATGTAATTTCTCTATTAATTGAGTAATAACCTGCTATACATCACAATTATTTGTTCAATTATTACTCCACTCGTGAAAAACATGACTATACGCTTTTTACAACATTCTCTGATACAATTATAGGTCATAATATACCATAAATTAAAAATTATAACACTTGTTTATTAGGACAGGTTTATAATTAATTTACAACACATTGATAACAATAAAGATAAAACAACAGTTAATGAATGAGTTGGGAGCAAACAAATTTCCAGTGTTTATTATTCTCATTGATTTCTCATTTCTTAACAGTATCTGAACAATATCATCCTGTCATAATTCATGGAATTACTAACCACGCTAAACAAAGGTAAATAGATTAACTGTCAGCTACATTTCTTATTTAAAAGATAACAAGATTACCGATATTGGTAAGTGATCCACGTATCGCAAACATGATTTTTTAATAACAGAACTTAGATTGATTGAACGGATTGAACACTGATCATTTAGAGAACTAGGCCTAATAGATGAATTGCTGAGTAATATCAGATTGATATCATAGAAATATTTGACTTTAAATCCAAATTCTCATAATCAAATTAGAAAAAAAGTAAAGTCAAAACACCGCTAAATGACGCCCATTTTTTAAAATGTAACCAAGACCAGACAAATAAACTAAGGTACATCCAAGAAATACTTTAGTCTATTATCAGATTGGAAATGTTCTGAATATTTCACATAGCTCCTTGTTAGGTATCAAAACTTTAATATTTTATCTCATCTAAAACTACTGAAAATATAAATAATCACTGATAATTTATACTGTTTGAATACAATCACTGTTAGATGCAGTTGGACTTACGGAAATTTCTCAGCTATTTCTTCATTATTTTGTCCGACGGTTGGTAATAAGTAATTGAATTCGGAGACAGATTTGAAACTGCACAGCTATATGTCTTAGTTAAGAATATTTCACCGATCGCTTGAAATCTAATCAAAGTCATAAATAGCTTACAACAAAAATAATATGTTTGAACCAATGCTACTAGACTACAATACAGATCGTTTTCAAGTTCAATCAATTTTCG